ATTGAATTGAATTGAATTGATTACATACAAAGGCATTTATTTCATTAGGCTGTCAGGAACCACTGACAGTCTTATAGACTTATAGTGCTTTCTTAGCTTTTATGAAAACTGAGCAAAACAACAGGAACAGAACAATATAATATAATAATTATAATTAACAAAACTACTCAGTTTCTCATAGTTCAAAAATCATTAAACCCCCCACCCCAGTGCCATTTATTTTCTCTGTCCTGCTATTATTTTTTCTTTCTTAATGATCTTTTAAAAATTTCTCATCCTAGTATCCATTCAGCCTAGGCAAAACTTCACCTTCTGTCCTTGCCCCAGTAGATTTTAACTTTTCTTCATGCTCTACCTCCCCAACACCTACACAACACAAATACTTTTCTCTCTGATCTTTCTCTCTCACATCAATGAAGCTTGTTCAGAAGTCCTCTCTCCCAATGGTCTACTCTTAACCACCCTCACCAGGGACCAAGGCATGGCTAGAATTCAAGCAAAAACCCACCAGCTGTGGGCAATCTTACAGTTGTTTCTTCCATTTTTTCCCCTTCACTAGTTCTTCTCTCCCCCAAATCATATCAGGCAATAGGAATTACCATGTATTCATTCAGTCCTCAGTGCCTGTCTGTCTGTCATGCATCTGTTTGGAGTTGGGAATAGGCAGGTTTTACCAGATGGGTTACACCAGGGGTAGGCAACCTTTCCCCTTTAAGGGCCAAGGGACTTCAGCTCCCAGAATCCCAGGAGCTATTGGCCAACATGGCTGAGGCTTCTGGGAGCTGAAGTCCCTCGGCCCTTAAAGGGGAAAGGTTGCCTACCCCTGGGTTACACAAAAGCTGGTCCTGTGTTGTTCAAAGAGCAAAGAAGTGAAGGCTTAGGTAGCATGATTCTGTAGCATGATTCTGGTCACGTGTGAAAGCTCTTAGCTATTTGGGCTGAATCTTAACTATCCTACTCTTGAGGAGCCTCGTGTGTGCAAACCAATGTTTCAATATATCTCCCAGACAGCACCATCCTAGCCGCGATGAATGTGGAATCAGAATACACCAATATCCCATGCAAAGATGGACTGCAAGTATCAAGAATACCATTCTGAGTGGGACTACAACATACCTGACTACCAAACTCTGTCATTTTGTACTTAGTCATAACTACTTCACTTTCAGGAATAACATGTACCTTTAAATCAATGCCACGCTGTTGATGCTTGCATGACACCACAGTATGCAGACATCTTCATGGCTGACCTGGGTAATACTTTCTCAGCTCCTGCACCCAGAAACCTCACCATCAATGACATTAACATCATTGTACAGCTATATAGTAGACAACTTAGCTCTACACTATATTGACAACCCACTGACCACTGCACATACTTACGTGCCTCCAGCTTCCACCCAGAACACACTACCAAATCTGTGGTTTACAATCAAGCCCTCAGGTTCAGCCACAACCTTTCAGACCCACAAGACCAGGATTCCAAACTGTGGATCTATGGCAGGCATTTCTTTCAAACAAAACATTTTCCTCCTCATTTTCACCCAGTAAGGGGGAAAAGACTCAGCAATGCAAAACTGACACATGGAACAATCTACTACACCAAAAGCAGAAATGACAAAACACTATTAGTTGTGATTTACAGCCCCCAGTTAAGACCACTGAAATGCATCATCAACCAAATGCAACCAGTTTTAGAAAATAACACTGCCTTGTCATGAGCTCTGGGTGA